ACCACAAACAGTGCTGGAAACAGTCTCTACATCAGTCTCCCTCTAAGGACTAAGAAAGTAATGTAATGGCCAGTCTTCGCGAACGAAGAACCGGGGAAGGTCTTTCCACCTTCCAGCCTGCGCATTGGATTTTTTAGGTGAGACACAGTGTGCGCGGAACTGAGCCCACCCTTTAATCCTGAGGTTCATCTGCCGGGGCCAAGCACGCTTGGACGGTGGCAGCGAGGTCCTCAGGACGTAGATGGATTGCCTTACAGGGCTAGCGAGCTCCACCTGCCCGGGGAGGGGCCCCGACCGGGAATCGAACCCGGGTCTCTGCAGTGACAGTGCAGTGAATTTTCCCCTGGACCACCGGGGGCTCCCACTAAGAAAGTAAAATACTTATGTTGGAGATATGGCACAAAGTCTGTGCAAAGCAAACCCAAGATGCTGGTTCATAAGCCCCAGATGGGAAGTCGTTTGAGCGAGGCAGAGGAAGGCTTGTTTGGTTCTCTTTGCCATAGCAGCCCAGCCAAAGAGCCCAGAACCAGCCTGGTCTCACAATGCAAACAGGCAGCAAAATCACCAAGTAAATTAATGGCACTGTTTCAGGATTCAGCAGCAAATTGGCAAACCAATAAAATGTGAGCAACATGAGTAGGTTACAGACAACACGAACCACTGGCGGTATCAGTAGGGATGCAGGGACAGCAGTGTTTATGAAACAACAGTACCTTATTTTCCAAGCTTTCTCCTTACCTGTAAAGGTGTCATGCCCAACTCATGCCCACTTCGTCCCTGCGCAATTTTGGACAAATCATTCACCAGGCGCTCAAAAATATTAGCAGCGTTTAAATCACAGTCATAGTTCACATAAATATCCACTACACACTGGGCATCTTGAAAATAAAGAAAACACAAGAATTAGCATTCAGTGATACAGCATTTTTAGAAGGAATCAGCCAGTTGGAGCAGGCAGTGGGGATGAATCCAGACACTTAGCCCAAGTACTCTGGGATCAAATTCAAATTTTCACACTTCAACGTTATATGTGGCATTTGTCTTCAAAATAATTCTCATCTGCTGCCAGAGGAAGTGATTGTTTTTTTACAGAGGAAATACCTGCACAAATTCTAGTTAAAGTCTGAATCACCATCCATTTGTGTTCAAAGGAACTTGAAGAAGTCTCCAGAATATTCAGGAAGATCTCTTTGAAGAAAACCTGCAAAATAAATAAGGTAAAGGACTTGATAATCTAAAACTTATTAGAATGATGTCAACAGTACATATTA